GACCAAGGTTTACTACTCCCGCCTTAGTTACCAGGAACTGAGGGGGAGAGGGGGAAATGCTGCCATGCAGAGGATTTCGTATTCTCGTTTCACACGGGTACGTTCATGCACTAAAAGTAAGCAGCTAACGCGACAACGAAGATGCTTGCATCGGTCGATCTCCGTCCATTCCCTTTCCGTTCACCATCTCTCTTCCTCTCAAATGATGTATGGCCAGCCGGCTTCTCCTTTAGGCTTTGGTCCAGCGTCGTATCGCCAGTATCACTAGTAGGCTTCGCACTACTAGTATACCGGTTACGTACTCGCTGCTGACCGCTATGTCTTCATTTTGGTAGGACGTTACCATCCACATCCGCTCACGGTCTCCTTTGTCATGTCGCTAGATATACCTAGCAAACGTCCAGACCGGCTTCTTCTTTATCACGGCCAGGCAAACGAAACAACACCTAATATTGCGCACAATTTCTGACGGTCTTTGCAGAACACCAGCATCAGCCACACCATTCAGCTCCGAGGCACCGTCTCCAATCACGAGCACGACTTCTTCTCCTGATACTCCCGAGACAACAGTAACGACACCAACAGCGACGACGCTCGCTTGATCACCGCATCATACGTTTTAACGATAACGATTATACGACGCGCCTTATGATTTGATGTATCATGTTGCTTCTTTTTTGAATTTTCAAGTCAATACATTCGCTGCGGACGCTGGAGCTTGCGAATGTGATGGACGAAACACAGGCTACAATGAGCCACGGCAGAAGAGGAATGCATTGCTACTGTATTCATCCAATTCGAAATGTAACTATTTCTTGGACACTTGACCTGAGTGGCTAAACACATTGATTCATTAGGAAATTCCCATGATGAAGCACAGCTTAACTGTTGCAGCATGTGTGGGACTCGGATTACTGAAAGCGGTTTGGTGATGACAACATTCTGGGGGAAAGCGGCCAGGGCTTCCTATCCCGAAAGGGCAATGGACCTCGGCCCAATCACGAAGGCTTGGTGCAACCGGACACCAACCTCGCATGCGCTGGAAGCTGAACGCCAGCACTGCTCTTTCACGACCGCACATCTGCTATACACGTCACTGCGACACGATTAATTGGACTACGACGACCCTCACGCCACGCATAGCCGCATTGACGCACCCGTAACTTGCCGGAACGCAGCGTTATCTCTGGTCGTGTTCCGACATTCCCCACACGCGACGCCTGCTCCACCCCCGAGTACGCGGGCTGAATAGCCCTCTCAACCATCACCATGATACAGGGCACGCGTCGCTGGCTCAGGCGCAACCGCACAAACTTTGCCATCGGCGCCGGAGTGCTCGGCGCGGGTTATCTGGCGGGGCAGTATGTCCTGGGCAAGCTCGGGGAGGCGAGGCAGCGCATGAGCGATGATCGCATCGCCAAAGAGAAGTCCGCTTTCAACTCGTCCATCACATGACATGCTCTAACGACAATGCAGTCTACGCCGCCGCTTCGAGCAGAACCAGGAAGACTGCACCTTCACCGTCCTCGCCATCCTGCCCACCGCGACCGAGAACATACTCGATGCCATCCCCGTCGAACAAGTGCTGGAAGAGCTGCAGAGACAAAAGGCAGAGCGCCTATCGCGGAGTGTCGGACCCAGCGAGATTGCCAGTTCAGCGCCCCCAAGTGTAGCAGACACGACTGAGGATGACGCACGGAGCTCGAGTCTCCAAACGGATAGCTTCATCCATGCCAGCCAAATCGCTACAGAGGGTGACAGCAGCACGGGCCCTACCGAGGCTATCCCAGAGGTCAGGGAGGACAGGAAGAGCAAGAAGAGCAAGGCGCAGCTATGGAGCGAGATGAAGATCAGCTGTGAGTACCGTCATGTTGGCCTTGAGACATGGAATACTGACGCGACCAGCCATAACACGCGCCTTCACCCTTATCTATACCCTCTCTCTCCTCACGCTTCTCACTCGCATTCAACTGAACCTCCTCGGCCGCCGAAACTACCTCGCCTCCGTCGTGTCGTTAGCCGCGCCGCAGTCGACAACCGAAGGCGCGAGGATCAACTTGGAGAACAACGACGATGACAACTTCGAGCAAGCATATGGCAACGACTTCGAGACCAACCGCAGATACCTTAGCTTGAGCTGGTGGTTACTACACAAGGGATGCATAGAGCTTATCGAGAAAGTACGGACCGCAGTCAAGGACGTCTTCGGGCTTGTGAACCCAAGAGAAGAGATGACCTTGGAGAGACTGTCGGAACTTACCCTGGAAGTGCGCAAGAGGGTCGAAGGTGCAACAGAGGAAGAGCGAAGGTAGGACCCCCATCTCATCTCAAATGACACCCGCTAACCCCTCACAGAACATGCAAGTGGCTCACCTTCCTCCTCCCACCGCAAGACCAGGAAGACTACGTCCTCCGCGAATCCGGCATGACCTCGTCCTCCGAGTCCACATCACCCACAACAACAGCCTCTCTCCGCCGCCTTATCGACGAAACCTCTGACCTCATCGACTCGCCTGCCTTCACACATGTTCTCACACAGCTCCTCGACGCTGCCTTCTCGCACCTCGTCGATGTCAAGATCTCACAACTCTCCTACAAGATCCCGCCCATCTCTGATAACCACGCTCGTGTGCAGGAGATTGTTGGACACGACATCAAGGCCAAGGTCGCGAACAGCTTAGCCGTATTCTGCAGACAAGCGCACAGCATCGGCACCGGAGCCAACAATGAGTACCTAGCTGCTATCGAAGCTGTTGGTGGTCTTGAGGCGTTCGCTGCTGTCGTCTACTCTAGCAACTTCGAGTACGAAAGCCCAGAGGCTGCTGCTGTGTTGAGTCAATCTGCTCCTGCTCCTGTCGAGCTAACAGCGCCGAGTGTTGTTCCTGAGGTTGCAGCTTTACAGGATGTACAAGAGATCAAGTCAGACGATCCGTTCGAGAGTGCCTGGGGCAAGGCGCTGGCGAAAGAGGATGGGAAGCAGTTTTAGGGGATTGTACGATTGGTGCATGTGGGAGTGGCCGTCGCGACGAAGGATTCTTGAGATACCCGTAATTTGAACCTGTAACACTATCTTTTCCCCTTTCTCACCCCGCATCGGATTGTGTATATCCTCATTCCGATAACACGCGTTGTGCCTTCCGGCCTCGGATTGTTGAGTCGTGACGTCAGAGCCATAGTGGGACCTGTGAACACCTCTCAACCACATGTACCTTTCAATATCCCTGCCGGTATCCCCCTGAACCACCAATACCAACAAAAGCTCCGAGTCGCAGAACTCCCCGGTACTCACAATGGCAGACCAACAAAATGCCAATCAAGGCAAAAACGCCTACGTAACCCTCCTCACCCGCCCCAGCTACCTAGCCGGCGCAATCCTCCTCGCCTACACCCTGCACAAACACTCCCCCTCCACCCCGCTCATAATAACCTACACCCCGGAGACCTTACCAGAAACCTGCATCAACGCCTTCAAAGCCGAAGCCGCTTACTCAAACATAATCCTGCACCCCGTGGAACACCTCCGCCTGCCAGAAGATGGAACCGAACACGGCATGGTCGCCGAGCGCTTCATCGATACATGGACGAAACTACGTGTGTTCGATTTGTGGGATATGCCCGGAGGGGGGTTTGAGAGGATTTGTTGGTTAGACGCTGATATGATGATCTTCTCCAACCCTTCGCCCTTGATCTTCAACAAAGAGAATGACGAGTATTTGAAGGGAGGAGATGGCATGCGTACAATGGCCGTACACACCTGCGTCTGCAACCTCGACCACGATTCCTGGGCCCCCGCGGAATGGAACCCAGTGAATTGCGCTATTGCCAAACTCACCGCACCGGATCAGCTAGCAGAGGTTAAGCCGGAACCATACACATTATCGAACTTCAACTCTGGCACTTTTCTCTACCGGCCTAGCAAGGAACTGTCTTCTTTCGTACTGGCCAAGTTCGAGGAACTGGGCAATACAAAGTTACGCGCTATGAAATTCCCCGACCAGGATTTCCTCAACGAAGCTTTCGACGGGCGCTGGAGCAGTTTGAGCTGGAAGACGAATGCGCTGAAGACGTGGCGGTACTGGCATGAGAATATTTGGCGCGACGATCAGGTCGCTGTGCTGCACTACATTGTGGATAAGCCGTGGGTGGCGCGGCTGGACGAAGACGGTAAAGCGGGATATTTGGGTAAAGACGGGGTGACGCACGGGTGGTGGTGGGATGAGTATGACACGTGGAAGAGGCAGAGGGAGGCGCAGGGAGAAAAAGACTTACTGCAGATTGTGGGCAAGTATGCGGCGAGAGAGGATGGGGTGGTGGATGAAGAGATGAGGGCTGTTGGGGGTGGAGCGCAGGATTTTGCGAAGAAGTGGCCTGCTAAGGATGGGGAGGGCGCTAGTGGAGGGAACGAGGAGAAGGAGGCGAAGAGTAATGAACCGACGTTGTCGGCGGAGGCACAGGAGAAGGCGGAGCAGTTTGGAAAGGTTGAGGCGCCGCAGGGGAAGATGTTGGGAGAGAGGGGGCATGGGCGTGTTGTTAGGGGTGGGCGGGGGTTTGGGGGGAGAGGAAGGGGTGAGGGGTGGAGTGTTATGCAGGATTAATGCAGGTCTAGAGGGTAGAATGAGGTGTCAGAACGTGCGGTAGTAGGGAAGGCGTTGGTGGACGGATGTAAAAGTAATACGGATAGACTGGCGGGAGAGATTCAACATGGTCTACATAGAGAGGATGGAATAGAGAAAATTATACTGTAGTCATCAACACTGAATCGAGGAAACGAGAGCACTTGCTGATATAATCTTGTATCACTTCTCGCATACATATTCTAGATCAATCATATATATCCCTACTATCATCCCATATGTCGGAAACCCGAACGCTGTCATTCGATCCCATATCAATAATGTAATCGCAAGCTTTTAAATCGATCTCCTGCCTCCACTCATCTCCATACTCCAGACCCCCCACTCATGAGACCTCGGATTTCCTTCATCCCAACCAGACCCCATTTACATGAGATCAATCAAATTCACACCCTCATCCTCATACTTGATGATCGGACGACCAGTCTCCTTGGCAACAGGCGACGCGACGTTGTTAGCAAGAACAATGTGTCCGTTGTGCGTGAGTGAAGGACCGCGGAGTTCGGCGGCGAAGGTCGGGCGGGGAGGAGGCATCTTGATGGCGGGTTCTTCGCGCTTGTGGATCATGGTGCCGTTGTTGTGGCTGTTGATGCCGTTGGGATGACCGCTGTTAGGGCCGTTGGTGTGGCCGTTGGTATGACCGTTCATACGACCGTCGATCTTGCGGTTTATCCTGGAGGTTTCTTCAGGATCATCATCTTCCTGGACAGGCGCGGGAGTCTTCTTCTCGATTGAAGTTTCCTTCTTCACATCCTCCTTTGTCAGCGCGATCTTGTCGTCTCGCTGTAAGCGTCCAACCATCTCTCCGATGTTCCAGAGGTTGTGCGGATGATTGGCATCGTACAGGAAGTCCAGCTCAGGACCATCGCGCGCGATAAGGCCCTGCCGCATCTTACTCAGAGCGACCTGCGTACGATGACACGTGCCATATCCCTCTAGAAAACCGCGCTGGTGAGACTCCTTGAGTGCTTCCTTACGACCCGCCTCTTTGCCCGCACCAAACCCATCGTTGTACGCCTCTTCCGCAACCTCATCAGCCTTCTCATGAGTGATAGAGTTGTCCGCAAATTCTGCTTCAAGTTGCTCGCGAGCAATAGCCTTCCAGTTCTGCTCGCGCATCTGTTGGGCTGCTTCGCGGAGACGGAGTGCTTCGATCTTGATGTTCAACTTTCCGTTCATATCAGCCACGGCCTTTTGCGCATGGAGTTCAGCTTCGCGGCGCGCATGTTCCATCTGCACGGCACTCATCGGTCTATCGCCGTTCTCTCCTAGCGCGTACATGAGCTGTTTCTGGCCTTCAGAAAGGTAGACTTCGAACTGTGTGATCTTCTGTTCCCGTTCGTCGAGGTCACGCTCTCGGGCTTCGACCTTGGACTTGAGCGTTAGGGTAGTGGCTTGATCGCGGAGAAGGTTTGTTAACATGACAGATGATGCGGCTTCGACTTTCTGTTGCTGCTCAGCTTCGATAGACTTGCGGAGACGAACTCCCTTGTTGCGCTCGGCATCGAGTTCGTTCTTTAGCTTCATGACCTGTGCGTTCATGCGGACGATTTGTTCGCGATCGCCGTGGTCGCCTCCTCGGGATCCGTGGGAATTGAAGTGGGAGCGAGGGGCGCGTGGGGCATCGTTGAATCGGTTGACCTCGTTTGGCGACATCATGTGCTGTATAGGTTAGTTTTATATACATCCAAAGGCTTGTGGAAATGCCTACCCTCGGGTCTGGAAGGCCGAAAAGGCGGGATGGAGGCGACTGGAAGTCAGGACGCATGTGTGGAGGTAGACTATGAGCTGGTCTCGAAGCCTTCGGCCCCTCGATGTTCGTCTCTGTGTCGGTCTTGAAGTCGCTGTCCTCGGTTCCGATGTCAACGTCGGTCTTGGTGGCCTCGACATGCAGTCCAGGGAGTGATGCCAGCGGAGCTTCTTTCTTAGCGATTGGAGATGCTTTTCTTTGCATTAGCAGATGACTTTGGTGATGGTAGTGAGACAAACCAAGCTTAGTCTTCTCCTTATCATGGATCTGCTCTTGTTGCTCTTGCACAATCACAGAGCTCGCTCCGACTGCCCCATCAAGGTCTTGCTCTATGATCTCTCCATCTTCAAGAGAGGCAACACTCTTGTTGTCTCCCGCAACAAGCTTGGGTGAGGGGAAGGAGGAACCAAGAGTCGCGGTCTTGACATCTGTCGAATCTTCGACAGCGACTTGCTCTTGGGTACCAATTGGCTTCTGGACGTTGGGCGCAGACTTTTTGGACATGGCAGGCGAAGGATCGAAGTCCAATGTATTCTCTTGATTACGGATCTCTCCATCGTGTGTCTCTGTAAGCGCAGCGGCTGTCTTGATGTCTGAGGGCGACGCGATGTCTAGAGGAGTGGCCTGGTCGCTTGAAGTGGCCATGTTGACGACTGTTTACTGATGCGGTTACTTGGATTGGTAGTACTCAATTGCCTATCGTAGTTGAGTGTCGAGATAAACGATGCCGCTGTTATGGGAATGGGTTCAGGGCTGATCGAGCAAATGAAGGCCAATGAGTTGATATCGATACGATACCTGATCAAGGTAGAGAGTGGACGAACGTAAGTCTATAGCGGTAGAATGTCTGGCTTATATTGATGTAGAGTATCCGGTGAGGGGCGCTAATACGTGAAGGCCCATGGCCGCAATGACCACTACCCGCACTGGAGTAAGTAAAGGCGGGATCGCGTCGTCAGGTCGACAGCAGTGTGATTGTAGTAGGCCCACATAAGATGTTCCAATGAATGTCTTCATTTGCGTCGCGCAATGTCACCGGAACTTGACTCCAATGAGGGGACGCTTATATAACCCGATGTGTGCGTTTGCCAGTCTCGTTTGATGCTTTCTAGTGCGCTTGTCGCGTCCTTCGGTGCCCGGTATTGTCGCCGTCAATCGAATCCGCGACGACGGACAGAGCGCGAAGGGCATAGCCGTTCGACAACTTCTACCTGAAGGCTTCGTGGACCCAGTTCCGCTCCAATACTTGCTCATAACGCACACCAATGTCAAAGAACGCCTTCGTAGTCTCGGGCGCCGCAGACAACTCGGACTCAGCTTGAAAACTCACGTCTTCCAAGCTCAGATCAGATGTCCTGCATTCCGCAATCAAATCCCGCAGGACAGTCGATTTATCCAAGCTCTCGTATCCCACCCGATATCGGCTTTTAGCACCAATCAGCATCGTGAAGCTTGTGAGGGATGGTGATAGCAGCTCGGCTATTGGGGGCGCGTTCCTCGCAAAATCATCGTACGGAGCAGAATCACCGAGCAAGCAGTTCTGAGATATAACCAACTTGCTCAAACGTTCGAATGGTCGAAGAGTGCCGAGAGGTTCGAGCGGTACCATCTCTACGTAATCTTCGTCTAAATCAGAGTCCGAGGCCTCCTCCTCTGATCGGAACACGATTTCACGAATATCAAGATGTAGAGATTCAAGCGTGTCAACGTGACGTAAAAGGCTGGCGTAGAGGTCGGATGGCGACCCTTCAAAATCCTCGATTGGCATCCATGTAAAGACAACATGTCTTAAGCCTTCGCATGCCGATAGAATACTGGCTATCGTCTCTATCTCGAGGCGACATGCGGTGATTTCGAGGCGCTGCAGCGTTTTCCATGAGCCAAGCTGACGCATCGATGCTGGCGATCGTGCCACGACGCTACGCGCTCGGAAATCGGTGAGCATGGGCGCCGTCGATACCACGGAGCAAATTTGATCGAAGGAAATGGTTTCGGCGTCGAGTCCGTAGTGCTGGAGAGTCGTGTTGACGCACAGTGTTTGAAGCTTGCTGAAAACATGTTCGGCTCCTGGGTTGGGCGTAGGCGAAAGCGTTGTTTCCCGTCCAGGGACAAAGTGTCTCCAGAAGGATCGCTCATGGTCTTCTATATTCTCGATCGACAAGTGTTGTAGATTGACCGCCTGTTTGACGACGTCGGCTAGCATGGTAAGGTAATGTTGTGCAATGGTGTGCGGAGGTATGCTGTCGTTCTTTGACTTCTTGTCCATGCGTCGAATCTCCACGTACTTCAGATACTTGTTGAGTTCCTCACCCGAGCCAGAGGAGTCTAAAATTCTTTCGCGAAATAACTGGAGAGGTTTGGTGCCACGCTCGGCGGAGGTCCCTATGAACGAGGCGTACAGGATTGGGGTAGCCATTCGCTTTAGACAACGAGATGTCAGACAGAGACTGTATAAGGCCAGCCTGCGGATATGATTGTCGGATTGACGATTTGCCTCTATCGCCACGTTTTTCTGGTGTTCGGTGTATCTGAAGAGCGTGTCGTAAGAGCGAATGGCGTCGAGATGTGTGATTATCTCCTGCACAAGCTCATCTGGTAAGCCCTCAAGCGACGCGTTTTTGGAGCCCATGGTCGATCGGTGTATTTGTCTGCTTAAAGTGCGTGTGAACGAGTGAATGCAATGAAATTGAGGTTTGTTGTTGCATGAGCGCAGAGATAAAGGGCGTCGTGGAAGTTGACAGGGCGTTAGGCTGCCACGCCGCTAACTCATAAGAGGGAAGGTGTTGACTGTTACACACCTGGGCAGGCGCCAGGGAATACCGACAATTCCACATCACGATAGTTATACCTGGGCTGATGTGTACGTTGACAGGCAAGACTCACAGGATGTTGTTACATTATTATGGGTATATCGCAAGCTCAATCAAATCCTCCAATCAGCTCACACCACCCTCGTCGTCTTCCCCGTCTCGACATCGTAGATCCACCCACTGAACCGAATGTTCTCCTCGATTGCTTTGATCCTGAGCCATTGTATATCCTTCTTGACTTGTATCTCCAGATCGCGGAAAGGCCGGAAGTCGAGGGTCTCCACCTCTCTCGCGGCTATCTCTCCCCTCTTCTTCATAACCACGGCTTTCGCAGTCGGGTTGTCGAATGTGAGCATGCCGCATCCGGTGTGCTTTACGACGATGACTTCTCTTGTTCCAAGCAGTTGTTGCGATATGACGATGGATCGGAACGCGTCGTGTACACAGCCGCCGGCGTTGCGGATTACGTGGGCGGCTCCGAGAGGAATGCCAAAGGCGGCGGTTGGATCGATGCGCGCGTCCATACATGTTACTGACGCGTCATGTTAGCGGACGATGGCTGGATATGTGGTTGCAGATGCTTACCGATGGTGTATCTTTGACTGGGTGGTAATGCTAGATGGCCCTGATCGAAGGAAGCAGCATACGCCTGGTTCCCGAGCTCGAGGTTCCTCTCTCCGTGTGTCGGCATTGTCGGTTTTGCTTATTTTAAGGCGTAAGAGGTTATGATGGGTTTACTGCTGGATGCATCGCCATCCCCTGCGACCTTATATATCGCCATGTCGCCGTCCTGATTACTACGATACGCGCCGGTTGCTTTTCGCACCTGAGGAAAGTTGCGGCATTGCGGGGGTGAATTTCGCCATGTTACTGGCCTGATACAGTTGGCGTTGATACAGGAACGACATGCGACAGACGTTACCGCAGCTGCACTTCTCCGGCAGAATGGCATCAACCCAAGCGCGGTTTCATTGGTCATCTCGACAAGGGTCCTCAGGCGGATCTCAGGCAAAGACGGCAAAGGGTGGGGCAACCCTTCTAGCGTGTCGCATGCGCATCTTCAGATGTTCCATTAATCCCGATCCTTCATTCTTGCTCCCACAAGGCGTCAATGCTTCTCTCTGTTAAATTTACTCTTTACCCTCTTGGGTTCCATGCTCATGTAATTCGGCATCCTGACTGAATCGCGCAGAGGATAGCGTTCGGCCTGACTCAAGATGTCCGAGACATGAAGAGAGATGGAGCCGCTCATCAAACCCGGATAGTGGATATACCTTTCAGGAGATAAGAGACGGGTTACCGGGCGAACTACTGCACACTTCGAATTGCCGTCGCCGCGAAGCTGGCATCAGACGCCACTCCCCAATGGCGAAGTAGAAGTCTAATAGACCAACACCAAACGGCCAATGGACTGCGCGTCGCAGACAATTATCCGTCAGACAAAACACATTGAAATCTAGGTGTCATTGCGATGGCCATTTTGTATAACGAGATTATTGTCGAAATACCAACCCTGAAGGAGCTAGGCCTGAAACGGAATAGCTTCTAAGACCATCGCTCCCGAGGTCCAAAGACAACGCCCGAATCGCTATGGTGCTTCGACCTAAGGAAGACATCTATCAGCCAAGAAGCGTACCGACTTTCTAGGAAGAAGTCGACGGATGAGGTGGAAAAGAATACCAACAATATTTACAACTCCACTCCGCACGCTTCGAGGCTGGGTATGACGCTGCGAGAGCGTCATACCTTACAAATCAATTCACGACCTCTCATGAGAGCATACATGTCAACGGATGCATATATTTCCTCTTTAACTCATACTAGACCCGCTATCTCTCAACCATCAATCCATCATGGCCTTCCCGCAATCCCCAGCCATCGACAGCTCGCGCTGGCATCAACGAATCGCGTCAATAACCACAACATCTAACGAACAGATCCGTATAAACTACATCGAATGCGCACCACCGCGTTTGGCGAGAAAAAAAGGCGTCATACTTCTGATCCACGGCTTCCCTCAGACATCATACCAGTTCCGGCATGTCATCACGCCGCTATCAGAGGCCGGCTATCGCGTCATCGCGCCCGACTACCGGGGCGCAGGACAATCTTCCAAACCCCTAACGGGCTACCAGAAGAGGCAGATGGCGGAGGACTTGCACATCTTAGTTCAAGAGCACTTTGGCATCAAAGAAAAGATTAATGTTGTGGGACATGACATCGGTGGCATGATTGCGTTCGCGTATGCATCGCGCTATCCCGATGATGTAGCTAGCGTCATTTGGGGTGAATGTCCGCTACCTGGTACTTCGTGCTACGAGAACGTCAAAGGCACAGCTGACGTCTTTCACTTTGTCTTTCACCAAGTGCCGGATCTCCCAGAATTTCTGATCGCGGGCAAAGAGCGGGAGTATCTCAAGCACTTCTTCGATAAGATCTCGTACAACAGTGCGGCTATTTCGCCTACCGATCTCGAGCATTACGCGCTTGCGTATTCGCAACCTGGTGCTATCAGAGCGGGTCTGGAGGTCTATCGTGCGTTTGAGAAGGATGCGGAGGAGAATAGGAATTGGGTGGCTGAACATGGGAAGGTTAAGGTACCGTCGTTACTCATGAATGGGGAGAAGTTTATGTTCGCACAGTCTGCGGCTGGTATGGCGAACGAGTATCATGAAGGCGCGGAGATGGTGACGATCGAGGAGGCGGCGCATTACATTGCCGAAGAGAATCCTGAGGCATTTGTGAAGGGTGTGCTGGAGTTTATTGCTAGATACTGAGCGCACTACGCTCGTAGACAAATATCTAGGTACACTGAAATACGACTTCCACCCCAGT